AAGAAAGAAAGAAAAAAGACGAAAGAAAGAAAGAAAGAAAAAAACAGACGAAAGAAAGAAAGAAAGAAAAAACAGACGAAAGAAAGAAAGAAAGAAAAAACAGACGAAAGAAAGAAAGAAAGAAAAAAACAGACGAAAGAAAGAAAGAAAAAAAACAGACGAAAGAAAGAAAGAAAGAAAAAAACAGACGAAAGAAAGAAAGAAAGAAAAAACAGACGAAAGAAAAAAAAAAAAAAAAACAGACGAAAGAAAGAAAGAAAAAAACAGACGAAAGAAAGAAAGAAAAAAAAACAGACGAAAGAAAGAAAGAAAGAAAAAAAAACAGACGAAAGAAAGAAAGAAAGAAAAAAACAGACGAAAGAAAGAAAGAAAGAAAAAACAGACGAAAGAAAGAAAGAAAGAAAAAAAACAGACGAAAGAAAGAAAGAAAGAAAAAAAACAGACGAAAGAAAGAAAGAAAGAAAAAAAACAGACGAAAGAAAGAAAGAAAGAAAAAAAACAGACGAAAGAAAGAAAGAAAGAAAAAAAACAGACGAAAGAAAGAAAGAAAGAAAGAAAACAGACGAAAGTAAGAAAGAAAGAAAGAAAACAGACGAAAGTAAGAAAGAAAGAAAGAAAACAGACGAAAGTAAGAAAGAAAGAAAGAAAACAGACGAAAGTAAGAAAGAAAGAAAGAAAACAGACGAAAGTAAGAAGAATTATTCAAGTAAAGATTTCTGGGAAGCAGTAAATCTACTGTGTTAATTTGGAAACAGCAAAAAAGAAATTTAGTTAGCAGTTAAAGAAATTATAGGGATACTGATAAATATTACTGAATGTTAAGGAGATTATATCTGGAACACCCTTCCGGTGCACCTGAAAGTTTCATCCTGGTGTCATTGGGAGTTTCGAAACTCTAAAAACACTAGATCTCCTGTCCCAGGTCATCCAACCAAGACCGATTACCTACCAGTCTGCGTGTTGAACTCTGTGAAATGAATGCACGAATTTTAGCCTGTGTGGTTTATTCGTTTATTTCTTTTTATTTTTTTAGCCAATGAAAATTGGTTTTACAGTTTCTGCGATCTCCATTTGCCTATTTAATGTTGTTGACTTTTCCCACCATTGTTTATTTTCGGGTAAATCGCTTGATCTTTTGCGGATTAAAGTATTTGCTAATTTTCTTATATTTTTTATATAAAATAATTATGTAAGAATTGGGGTAATTTACGCCTAATATTTAAGAATTTATTCAGATAAATGGGATATAATTGGCTTATGTCCTTTGGATTTATCCATAAATAAAAGTTTATATTGCACTTAATTTGTTTGTATAATAGGACCCAATATCCCCCAAATAATTTATCAATATCTTTAATAAGGATAGATGTAAGTCCAAGCTCGCCCAATATATTCTTCATTTAAACGTAAATATATCTTGAACATTTAATCAACATCATTTTGTTAGTACCAATTTTATTATGAAAAAATTGACTTACATCATGAAAAATGACAATCTCTATACGGTCTTTTTTTTCATTTTTTTTAATTGTTACTATCTTTTGTAATACAAAAGACAGGGATTAGGCTTTCCGGTACATCAGAAAATATTGGCAGATAAATTATTTTGATATTTTACCAACAGGGCGATGTACTTTAATCATTAGCTTAATTCAATCATGCCTCAAACGTAAATTCCATCAAGACACAAATCTACCTTATCTCCCAAAGCTTCTGAAACCGATGACGAAGCGGAAATACGTGAGCAGTGTTATTAAGTTGGATTATTTTTGAAGGACGTTGGCGATCATATCTCTCCACAACTGCATGTCCTTTTTGCCATCTTTCCCAAACCCTGCTCCGCCATCCATTTGTTTAAGATCACCAGTTAGAATTTCTCAAGCCTTCTTTCCTCTTTATGTGCCCTAGAAATTTCAGCTGTCTATTCCTGTCTATAAATGTTCTTTTTGTTGCCATTGTCTCTAGAACTTCGTCGCTGCTCACGTGATTTCAAAGCAACAAAAATCTTTCGTCGTACGTTGTTTTCATTCCTGACTTCAGCTGGATCCAAACTTAATTGGATTAACTCCGTGTCTCAAAATATTGACCGAAATACATTTCGCTGATATTGTTCATAATAAAGAAGACAGAAAAAAAAAGAAAAAAAAAAAATCAAATTAACGTGGCTAGTAGGGCTGCTTAGATCTGAGCTCTTTCAAGCTGGGGTCATACTTAATAGGCAATGTATTTCTTGCTTTAATTTTATAAATAATCTTTTATAAAACTAATGACTTGTATGCCCAGTTTTTCAAAGTATACATTTTATTTCAACTTTTTGTTTTCAAATGTCCATTTTAAATATTTAATTCCGTACATTATAAGGCTTTGTAGCGGAATGTATCAATTGAAAAAGGGTAAATTAAATTTAGCCCGACTTATAGTCTGCGAAAATCAAAGAAAATAGCAGCTTTAATTCGTCGACTAGAGGGTTGGGGTGAAGAGTTCAACTGGGGTAGTGCTAAAGAAATATGCTATCAATCAACTTTACTGATCATAAATCTATCTATAAAAGCAGGATGTGTGTGTGTGTGTGTGTGTGTGTGTGTGTGTGTGACGAATGCACGGCCGCAATTTTCGACGGATTTGCACCAAAATTTACATGCACATGCTCCAAGTTAGCGGAAAGGCCAAGACCGACTTTGCATTTTCCAACTCCCATCGATAGTGGAAATAATCGATTTTTTTCATGCTTCTACGGCACTTTTCATGTAGTTTGCGGTCATTTTCTACTGACCAGAGTGAGAGCCTATAGCTGGCTGCCACGAATAGGCAGGAAGATTCTATTGGCCAGCGTGAGAGCCAACAGCTGACTGACACGAATGTTAACTAGCATGCAAAAAAATCGATAGCTGCATTCGTCACAAGTGGGAAAAATTTAAATCTGCATGGCACTTTACTCCAATTGGCTCATCCGCTTGCTTAAACTCAACGTTGATTCTGATTCCGCAGAACTAGGTTGGGTGTGAAAAATATTTGTTGTTAACATTTTCTCATTCGGTTTTTCCAGTTACGAGTCCTTTTTTAAAATTGATCGTTTTGTGTTCATTTTGTATAGGTCTTTTTTCGTAACAGATTTAATGTTTAGTATAGAGCTTAGAAAAAAATTCGCAGTGTGGGATAGGCAAGAAGTAAGGCATGTAGCAACATCAGCACAGCAAAGGGCACTCCTTTAAAGGCAAGGAAGGGCAAAAATACTTTAAGTCAAGTGATAGCGATTGCTGTACGAGTCGTACGATTTTTCAATCAAGCACTGGCAACGCCGGGCCATGCTGCTAGTTTACAATAAATTAAACTAAAAATTTACAGAGAGAGATTCATAAACACACTAACGCATCGACCTATATACAAACACACACTCGCGATCGATACACACTTTACATGTCTGGAATTTTTTTTTAAATAAATGTTTATTTTTATAGAATTATTACAATTAATTTAAAATAGAAAAAAAAAATTTAATTTCATGCACAGAGGTTTTTAAAAATTATATATTTTAGTTAAAGTAAAGGAATCATTTTAGCACCTAAGATATGCCAATAGTATATTTTGTTAAAGATTGTAATGAGCCCGACAAACATTGATGACCTAGAGTTGTCACTGGTTCGGTCCATAATATTCTCAGCACCCCTTTTGTAGAACTACATTTCTGGTGCTTCAAGTCTTCTTCATCTGTGAAGAGATTCCCAGCATTCACTGCCATATAGGGGGAGTAATATGACAGCTGTTCAGTATTCTTTTGTTAGAATTTAACTTTGGAGGGCTACTACTGGAAAAGAAAATGAAACATAGCAGTTCCATGTTCTTTGTTTCTGACGAAATTTTTCTGTTTCTTAATACTTTGTTTAGCTTTTGGAAGGCACCTTTTGCAGTTTCCAATGAACCTTCGGATCTCAGTGCAACATTTTCTGTCATCTGTTATAACTGTTTAAAAAAAAAAAATAAAGTCCTTCGAGTGGGAAAGCTAAGAGTGTGTAAAGGTTTCTACACTTGTCTGCCTTTTCAAAAGATAGATTTTTAATTAGCTTTTCCTTAGTGAAAAAAAAGTACAGTACCGTATTGTACAGACCTTTAAAACTCTTTGCCGTTCCCTCAAAACACGTGTTTTTGTAAATAAAATCTTTCCTTATTCCTGAATAAAAATAAATTGATTTACACTTTAAATACTCTTGTAAAAATTAACAACGTTGCGTAAAACTGTCAGCATTATCAGTCATATGACCGGAAACAATGGTAGGGTGCCTCCCTATCCCAACCTGGGTTGAAAGCCCGAGAGGTATTTATTTATGTGTAGTGTGTCTTGTATACCTGACAGAGCTCCTCACTCTCCAGGTCAAACTACAGCCGATGCCCTCCCATTTGAAGGCTCGCCTTGGACACGGACTCGTAACCGTCGATTCCGTCGGAAGAACTCTCCGACCTGGCCGTTGACTTCAGCCTAGGAAGACCTCCGCTCAGCGATGCAGTGTCATCACTGCACTGGCTGCATACATTACGATCGAGCCCAGACTACCCCATTGTGCGAGATATTCGATGATCCTACTACACAAACTTATCCGCTTCTTGACGGGTCTTTTTTTTTTCTTTGATATACCTGCTGAGAGTCTAACCATTCTCCTTACCAAAAAAGAAAAGCCTAGTGGGGGAATCGGTTGAGTCGCGGATCATACAACAGGTAAACATGATTTGAGGGATTCGTTTTCTATGGCTTAACCCTTTGCAGGTTATTTAAAGCCATTAAATATTTTTACATTGTAAGAACTTTTTTTTGGGGTGAGGGAAAATGCTTTAGTGATACAAGTCTTGCTAATTAACCCATAGATGAGAGAAGAAACGGTAGATTCATGCCTTTCACAAAGGTATTTGCGCGTAAGTGAATATAACGAACTCAACTGGAATTCGAACCCGGCTCTCTGAGTAACAATTCCGAGCCATTATCCATTTGACCAACCACATATCCTAGTTTACAGCACCCGGTATTCCCAAGCGGTCACCCATCTAGGTACTAACCAGACTCGACGTTGCTTAATTTTGGTGATTGTATAGAAGCCGGCATTTCAACGTGATGTGGCCGTAAGCCGACAGATAGTCCTAGGTTACATTGTACAAATATCACCCGTAGAGTAACCTGACATAAGTGAAACTGTAAGATGAAATATCTACATCTGGAGTCACATTTTTATGTATATTTGATCGGGTTTTGTTGAATTCGAGAATCCTCCTACTCAGTAGTCAGGAAATCCAAATGATGCTTATATAAGCGAAAACAATCCAATATAGTTAATAGCATGAACTAAAATATTGTATTTATGAACAGTCAATGAAAAAGCTGAAAGATATTTGCTTTTAATCATTCAGACATGACATTTAAAAGATCGATGCACAAATATCAAAGGGCACAGTAAAGTTGTAATTCTGTTTGTTACAAATGAGAGGCTATAATGAAATTGGATTAAAGGAAAAACAAGGACAATTACTGATATCCATCACAGTGAGTTGATATTTTTTTTTTTTTTTTATCTCGGATAAGAATGAAGAGCAGACGATTTTTTTAAAATCGTCTGTAATAGCTTAGAAATTTTTTTTTATTATTATTACGTTATTCAGCTCGAGGACCAATATTTTCATTGGATTTTAATTTCATTTAATTATCTGGTTTAATTTTATTTTAATTCTATTAATCTATTGTTGCTGTTATTGTTGTGCTAAATAGAAGAAAACACATTGACAAAAAACGAAATGGAACAATAATAAAGAAAACAAACATGGCCTTTCTTTAGGCGCATGTAGCCTCCGAAAACGAGTTTCCCGAAATACTCTACAGCTCATGTCTATTTTTCACGTCTCATTAAAAGTAGGCCGAATAATGAACTACAAAAATAATAATAGCCCTATAAGATAAGTGTGGTTAGAATCGATAATATCTTGAATAAATCGGACGTCACAAATGTTTCACCATCCAACAACAGGATGAAATCTGACAGTTATTTGTAAATCATAATCAGTCATTCGGCGATTTTATAGATTTTCCCCATTTTCAAACAATATCAAATCACTTTGAATATCATCATATATATATATATATATATATATATATGAGAGCTATCGGCGTGGAAAGTAAAATCGGTGTGTAGAGTTGAAATTCCGATCGATTCTAGTTCGTTCACTTGGCAAAGGCCGGTAGAAAAAATAAAACAGACCATCTACCCAAATACGGATATCCACTAAAAATAACGTTTGAAGTAATAAAATTATTGGATCAAAAATAAAAATATATATATATATATATATATATATATATATATATATATATATATATATACACACAAATGGATATTGAAGTCAGTACCAGAAGAGTCAGTGTTTCATTATAAACGCAATTGTCAACTCTTTAACCCATAGATATAGCATACCATATTTTATATATATATATATATTAGCAGCATGTATGTCAAAGTAAACATTTCCGCATTGTTCGATGCCTAACTGACAGGGTGAAATGTTTTTTGAAGGTTTTTTTTTTTTCAGACCACCCCGTTTATTTAGCCCTTTTTGAGCCTTTAAATGATTTCCCAACCGCCGCTTTTACTAAGACCCCGCTTTCTTGGATATTGAAAAAGATTATATCCCTGCGCCCCGATTATCAAGACCCTCACTTATATTAGACACCTAAGCACAGCTATAAACGCACACACATACACACTTCTCAAAGCATTTTTTACCGTCTATCTTTCCTTAATTATCTGTTATTGACATTTCCTTTGAATATTTTTTTTTTATATTTGAGGTTTTACGTTTCCATAAATGTGTGTATTCAATTTAAAAAAAATAAATAAAAAAAATAAAAAAAATAAAAATGAACAAAGAAAGAGTGTGTGCATAAATAACAAGAAACAGTTGTATTTTCTCTCCGGCTAAATTTCTATTTTCACTTCATTAAATGGTCCAAGGGAGGCAATTCCCTCAAAGATATTATTCTGCTCCTCGCAGCTGCTTTATTTTTTTTTTTTTTACAACAGCTTAAAAATAATCGAGCAAAAACAATGAAAAAAAAAGGGGGAGGGTTTCAGCTTTACATTATAAAGAAAAAACAAATCAAGATACGAATAGTTGAATGTGTCTAAATCTGTGTGTTTAACTAAAAACTTTAGTATCATTTTCGCCTACAGGATTAATAGGAGGACAGCAGGCAGAAAGCCAAGTGGTCGAACAGCGAAATTCGTAATTTCTATTCGTGCAAATCAAGAGTATTTTTGCTTTTTACTTTACGACAAAGCTTTTTCTTGTTGTTCCGATGATATAAAAACTTTTAAAGTGGAAATATCAAGACTATTGCACATGAAACCATCAATAATTCCAGTTGTGTTGGATTTGATTAGGAACAGGCACATTGAAGGGATCTCTAGTAGCCATGTTTTAAGGAAATACAAAAACAGTTTGTTTTTGTTTTTTTGATGGAGGTGTTTTTTGTATGTTTTGTTGTTTGTATTTGTTTTGTTTTTTTAGAGGGGGTATTTTTTTTTTTTTAGTATATATGTGTAGAGGAAAATGCCATTTCTGAGCTTAAGCCTCTGTTTGGGATCTAGGACGAAGTAAGTATAAAACAGAAATAAAAAGGAAGGAGGACGACGAGAAGAAGGGTGATACCGACCATCTTGGCTTACATTATCCTTATTGGTATAAAATGACAATTGGAAAAAATCTTAGATCAATTCTGGGAATTTAACTATATTGTTGACATGAAAAAAAATCCCTTACTATAAAGGTAATTTACATTAACCAGAAAAAAAGGCTTAGACAGAAGCTTCTATCTTTTTAAATTTGGATTTCTTAATGTAACTATAACAACAAAAACATTTCGATTTCATTTTTGCCTTGAAAAAGTTGGAAAATGAAACGCGTCGGCAAAATCTAAGATTTTTTTTCCAACTGTCATTTTATACCAATCTGTCTTGTCCACAGAATTGATCTGGGAATTTAACTATATTATCCTTATTACATAAAAATAATATTGATAGATTTGAAGAATGTTAGGTATTATATTTTTTTTTAAATCCTTTATCCAAAATTGTTGGGACTGGAAGTACTTCAGTTTTCAGATTTTTTTTTCGGATTTTAAAATACAAGCTATTTAATTTCTATGTAGCACCTATAAAATGGGACAACTTGGGAATGGAACCCAAACATAAACACGATATCACTTTACATTTCATAACGCAGATTATACATATACATAAATAAATAAATAAATTTGTATAAATACAGATACAGGTAATGACGCTAGTCATATAATGCTCACACGGATTTCTAAGTGGTGAAATTAAGATTTCACGTAAAAATGTACTTTCTCTATGTGTACAAAAACACGATCACGACTTACAAAAATATATAAATGCAGGACTTTTTGGACAATTTTTTTAATAATATTTTCACTGAGCACGAAACACTTGGTAAGTAATCCACGAACAGAGGTGCTGCTGTGACGATCGCTAACAAAAACTTGGCACCGACGTAGGCTACATAGCTGAGCTGGGGAAGCCATGCCCAGGGCAGATGAGATTGCTTACAACAGCTGCATATCACCTAGGAACATTTTCCTAGTGCTTTCTAAAATTGTTTCATTTGTGGTAAGTCATGTCTGCACCTGAAATCTTTCGGATTTGGGAGGTTTGGGATTTTTCGGATAAAGTGTACTTAGCCTATGTATCCAAGGCAGAGAAAACCTGTTTGATTAACAGTATTTCATAATAAATTATTTCATAATTTGACAATCTTAATCAATAACCGTCCTTGGTCTTTCATCTCTTGGTTTTGTTAACTTTCCCATTTTGAATTTAACATTATCCCCAGAAGTTTTTTTGTTGCTTCTCAGAAATCTTAAATTGAATATTTTCCATTCTCAAACATATCACTTTTATTGGTTTGAGAATTTTTCTATATACAAAAAAAATAAAAAAATAAAAAATAGAAAGGTACTGATACCATTCATGGGCAAGTAGTTGTCATGTTTTCACTTTCCAGTCCCGATAGAGCGCAAACGCGTCTCCGAATCCTTGTAGGTGGATGAATTATTTGCCAATCTACAGCCCCCTTTCCCACAGACGAAACGTTGCAAGCCTTGCGCCATTTCCATGGAAAACGCTCAGACGATCTACATTCTTTACTTACACAAGTTCAAACACTACATGCCACGTACATTGTAGCGTACTACCACAACCCCCTTCATATCATATTGGCGAGATAAAAGTTCCACTCAAACAGCTTCTTCTCACTAACCACTACTTTGTGGAACCGAATCCCAGGGGTGGAGTGCTTACATCAATCTTAACCTGCTCAAGTCTAGGGCTATCTTCCCCACATATCTAACACTTACCTGCTACTCTGTAACCCTCTACCTTGTGCGGCGAATTTTATTATGTTAATCATCCATTAATCTATCGTCTCTGAACATTTTTTATCAAAGTCGTCAATAGTTAGCTTTTCAAAATGTGAAGGAGTGTTGTTTTCCAGGAATATATTCTTTAGCTTAAAAGCTTCTTCGTTGTAGCTCATACCGCTTCAACAACTTACAATCATTCTCTGCTTTTACCATTGACACCATCAATTTCGAAAGGACCTATCATTTCACTCCATACAATACCAGCATAAAACTACCTCACCACTGTTGTCTTCTAAATAATATTTGTTGATTATATCGAGAAAAGACCCAAAATCTAGTCTAGACATCAGATCCATCCAATGTAGCTCTACATTGATCACTATAAAGTGCTGTTGAGAAATCTGTTTTCAAATACTTCTTCACCCAAAATTACGTTTCTTTTTGTGATATTTACTAAAAAGACGGTAGTTTAGTGACTTTCATATCTTTCAACAATATTCTTAATATTATGCATTCATTCTCTATCTCTCATTACATTCAATTTCTTCAAATATTTTCTTTCTTATATCTCTGAAATTGTCTCATATTTCTTTGTGACTTTATTAAAACTGGTCATTTCGCCAAGGTTTTTATTTTATGTTTCGTCGTCTGTTCTAGCTTTTCGCAATTTCCAATGTCATGTTCCCATTACTTAATAA